TGTACAAGAAGCGTTTGGGTGTTCTCTATGCAGTACAGTGTTTCGTAATCACAAGAACTCCTTTGTTTTTTATTTTTCGGTAAAAGCTGGAACTAATCGGAATACTGTTTTGAATAGCCCGAAGAATTTTCTATCAAATGAGGTGTATATCGCCCTTTCCTGAGAAAGGCTGATAATAGGGAAAATCCGACGATAAAACTGCGGAAAAATTTAATCGCTTTTGCTGAACTGGTGGTGACTCACTGGTCACTATATGTATGTACGTACGTCACACTGCCACGTGACCATATGTATGTATGTCTGTCACACTGCCACATGCTCATATGTATGTACATCCGTCACACTGCCACATGATCATATGTATGTACGTCCGTCACACTGCCACATGCTCATATGTATGTACGTCCGTCACACTCACTGGTCACTATGTGTATGTACGTCCGTCACACTCACTGGTCACTATGTGTATGTACGTCCGTCACACTCACTGGTCATTATATGTATGTACGTCCGTCACATGCGGACGCCGACGCCGACGTCGACATTTATTTCATATATGACCCTAGACTTTCAGTCAAGGGAATAAGAGAGATATCTTGTGAAATACAACTGCTATAACAATGTGACAATTCATCGGATCAAAAGCGGATTTTTTCCAGCTTAATCTGACACCACAAGCTAGCGCTTACGAATACAAACAGAATCTTTTAACAAGCATAAACTAAGTAGTACTACTACTTAGCGTTTTGGAAAAGTCTAGGGCTCCGCCCACTCACCCGAAAATTCCTGGTTCCGCCACTAAGTAGTAGGTGTTTCAAGTTTGCATTGCATATTAGTCGGTGATCTCCACGTTTTACCTGATGGTTTTACTTGCTGGTGTGGAAGGTGACGATTACTACGATTCCAGTAAACCCCGATGAGCGGAATTTTCTATAACGGTAATATCTTGATAAGACTTTCTTCTCAGTTATGCTATTTCTTCAAAATATCTTTTCATGCCTTCTCATGTTTCTGAATCCATGTTGAGTATCTCTTTCGACCACTATGACTCAGTGGAAAAAATGGACTTTTCCTTGTCGAAAGCAGCCATTATTAACGTTGTTCCTAACACGAACCATGCTTTAGTCGATAGCTAAAGACCGATGACTCACCGCCTTTACAAGCTACTTTTCACTGTAACGGCCTCTATCTTTACGTTGGCGCACTTTGTGAGTATATTTTGTTCTAATGGCTATTTTGATATGATTCAAATACTTGTTATAGCCGTCTTTCGCGGTTTGCATTTGAAAAATACTTAATCAGCCTTTCTGCTAAGTATTCAGTGTCACAGAAAATGACTACTCCATTATGGTGAAAGAAAATGATACAACAAAGGATTTCTTTCCAGATTTTCAGCCATGACTGCCCGTTACTGCAGAATCGGATGATAGAGGATTCTCAACTGTCGCATTCCAGGTCGATTTTCGTGCGAAAATCGGGCAGGACTCGAGCTAAAAAGTCGCGGCGCGAACGCCATTAGACTCGTGAAATAAGACGCGATTTTAGAGATCGCTATAAGGTCTCACTAGTGGTATTTCACTCCCTTACATATAGTGATTCTCACGACAAGATCTTGCTACCCTAGTGAAACCTGAAATCATGCATTTCAGAAAGGTGCAGCATGATCTAAGGAACGTTTCTATGCTATTAGAAGATCTATCGGGGTCTCGCGTTTTCTCGCGATCTCACTATACTGAGGTAGTGTCATACTAGACTGAGATGAAGTATGGTGATAACCAGTTAATTAGCGTAATTGGTTTTAAACTATGAAGTTTTTAGTACACATTGATAGCCAAGAACACGCTGATCCCGAATATGTGCTTCAGAATTGGTTTACTTTAGATGGTAATAGAATATTCAAGGTTTTTCGTGTAGATGTCGTTTTGTTCATGTTTCTTGCATCGTGTTTTGTAGTCGAAGATTTCATTTTCACACTAGACATTTATACACCATTCGATAGAGAATTTAAAGAGCTACGTTTTAGACTATTTATCTTTGAGAAACGAATTATTTCACTTTTTGGCCTAATTTCCGCCTGGATGCCCACTGTGCTTTATCACAAGGCTGGATAATACTCCAGGCAAGAAAACAACACTGTATACATTGAGATCTGAAATGATCTGAAGAAGCTATTTTCGATCGGATAAATCTAAGGAGATGTCTTTACAGAGATTCAAACCTTGAAAGCAGAGATGAGATGGACGTACTCCTCTTAAAACACTGTAGGCAATTTCTGTTTCTGGGAAACTGTCAAACGAGCAAAAAATAGGGTAAAATTAGGAGCAGAAAAAATCTTGCGAACTATGCACGACTCTTGCAGAAACTTATCGCGACTATGCAGAATTCTTGTAGCACCGGTCTGCATAATAGGATTAGCGACACGACTGATCAGGACTCTTGCTCATTCGTGTCGCGATTTTAAAAACAAGACAAGACTCGCACTGAGAGAAGGCGATTTTCTTATACAACTACCCTAGTGAAACTTTTTGTACCCAACATCTTGGAAAAAAACGCCAAGAAGTCAAGATCTTGGGTTCTTGAATCTTTCACTCAAGAGCTTGAAACATCTTGGCTTACTTCACTCAAGATCTTAGGTAAGAAATCTCAGAATCTTGAGTGGTGTAAGCCAAGATGTTTCAAGATCTTGGTTTCTTGAATCTGTCCCTCAAGATCCTGGGTTAAGAAATTTCAAGATCTTGAGTGAAGCGGCTTCACTCAAGATCTTGAAATTTCTTATTTCATCAAATCTAATACCATATTCGGAATCAGCGTGGAAAACTGCATCTAGTGAACTATGTTATAGAATACTTGAAACGAAATGAATTTTTATGATTTACAAAATCGAAACTTTCGTCCAATGACCTAGTCTAACGTCATTTCGCAATGACGTTAAACTAGGTTAATGATGTTAAGTTCTGGATCAGTTTATGGAAATGGATTAGTATAACAGCATTTAGAAAAGGCTTCATGCCAGGACTAGGCCCGGACACGTTCAATGGTAGCAGGTCGGTGAAGGTACAGCAATAAAATCTAGTTTAGAGGGTTTCTTCGGATTACTCCCCCTCTGGCTCTGTCGCAGCGCAGAGCAGCCGCTAGGTTTTGCTGCCGAGGCCGAGTTTACCTGTTACCATTACCCCTTGAATGCACCTGGACTCTCACACTGCGCGAGGTGGCTTGTTGAGAAGCGCAGGGGGCAAGAATTGTCTGAAATTTGCCCACTCACTGAGTGGTCCCACGAAGTTACGGGATAGGACAGAGTTCCCTAGGATGCAAAAATCAATTAGGTTAGCCAGGCCCCGAGACCTCGCGTCGGTCCCTCCTGGTCTAGTTAATTTGTGCATCTGCAGGGTACCTCAAAAACGTGCACGTGGGGCGGGTGTGCTTGATGCCGGGGCCCAAATGAAGGGGGTACCGTGAGCACCGTTAAGCCGAATGATTGTTAACTGTAGTCCGGTGGTGACTCGCGGCCCCGGTGGTACTCTGTACGTCCCTGTTTTTTGCAGATGGCTGCATCATCTTTAACAACACCTTCTTCTTCTTCTCCCTTTCCTAAAGTTGAAATGAGTTTAGACGAATTTTTCACTATCTATCACATCGATTGCAACGATAATTCGGATGAAACAGAACAGAGAGTACTCGAATCCTTTAGTCTGCAACATACAGAGAACAATGCTGAACTTTTTGCAATCAAAGATAAAATCCTTTACCATAAAAGGTAAGACAAAATTCAGTGACTGGAAACATCGTCGCACTGTTGATTCTCAAAAGGGAAAGTTTTTTACTACTGCTATACATAAGAATGAATTTCCTGATAAAAGACTAGCAGTATCAGTTACACCAAAGCCTCCAAAACGTCCTACAAAGAGCTTCAGCGATGTTGGTCCTCGTCAGAAGCGAAAGAAACTCATCGATATCAATTCTGCATTAGACGAGTTTGCCAACGACAATAATAAATGAAGTCTTCGAACCACAAGAACAAGCACTCAGAGAAAATGGTCTCTCTTTTGACCACAATGGACAAAACTATAAAGTGTCAGTCATTATTGAAGATTCCATGAAAGATATAAGGTCAGAATGGTTGAATCGGGTCTAGGAGGGGCCGACTGTCTCATGTGCCACACAAGGCAAGCTGATTGGAAAGATGTAAAGAAAATCAATGAGGAAAATGCCTTTCAAATCACTCGTACTGCTGAGAAAACTGTGCAGCTGTACAAGGAAATGATAGAAGAGAAAGGGCAAATTGTGCGAAAGAAAAATGACTACGAGGTCTGTGCAGGACTGACGACCGAGCCTCTTTCTACTAGTGATCATCACTACATAACACTCACTCACCAGTATATTAATGGAACAACATGGTTTTTAAATATTTTCCATAGAATCACAGCAAATCTTCTCGTGTGGGCCATAAGGGGCGAAGACAGTCAAGCGAAATTAAAAGCAGCGAAATATAGCGTGCTAAAACATATTGAGGAGAATACGGGGCTGAAACCAGATCAGCGTGATTCTGCCAGTGGAAATACGGACACGAGTACAACGGGTTCGCAGGGAAGAAGATTTTTCATGTTTGAATATCGGGAAAAAGTACTTGGCTGTCTGCCGAAAAAATACAAAGATGTTGTGAACTGGCTTATGAAAACATAGTCAGTGATTCTAAGAGCGGTCTCTTCCACTCAGGAAGTTAACGTTGACAAACTTAAAAACTTAACTCGAGAGTTTACTCTTTTTGTAGCTAAAGAACTGAACTGGATCGAATATAATCTAACAGTGCATTATTTAATCTTTCACTCGGCCGAACTCATCGAACGAAATAATGGCACTGCCCTTGGAGAACTCAGCGAGGAAGTTCTTGAAAGTTGCAACAAGCATGTTCGAAATTATCGCGAATTTTTGGCACGAAAAATTGGACATATACCAAATCTAACAGACGTGTTCAATCGCCTCTTCATCAGCTCAGATCCGATTCTTCGTCATATCATCGACAAGTCCCAATCAAGAAAAGGAAGAAAAACGAGTAAGAAGAGTAAAAAAGAGAAAAGTGTCTAAAATGAAAATGTCTTCTGGCAATACTAGTTGCTTTACACAACGAATAACGGAGTCACGTTGTGTTACCCGATCACAAACAGGCTGTTTACCTAGATTTCGGACAACCTCGAACTAAGTATAATTGAGGAAACTGTTGAGCAACTCTGCTGTAAAAATAATAATAAAAGAAAATGTAACTCAGTTTATGTTGCAAAATCAGCTATCGGTAAGCACTACTCTAATACTGGACAT